TCTGTGAACTCAGTTTTCTGATGGATCTAAGAAGAGTCATTGATTTTCAGTTTGTTCAGCTTTTTTCTTTTTGTTAGGGTAGGAGTGACTGTTTTCAAGCTCTTCATATTTCAGACTAGAAAGTCAGAAATTCCCTTGTTTCTTATTAAAATGAAGATTTTACTTTAGCTCATTCATCTTAGTCTCTTAAACCTTGTCTTTCCCCTGTACAACATTCACTGGAAACAATATTTTTAGTGAATATTTGAACATAGATTACATTTGGGCAGAGATACCTTTTTCATCTTTTTTTAAAAAATTATCTTTTCACTTGTTGACTTTTCTAAATGCAGACTGCAGTCCTTCTTAAGCTGTAAGGCTGTGAACCCTGCTCTTTTTTTTAAGCATCAATTCAGCAGTTAGAAGGATTTTTTAAAAAAATTTGAAGCAGTTATCTCCCTAAAAGGATGTAGACAGAATGAACAGTGCAGAGAATTTGTATACTGTGTTAAAGTACTTTCAATGCTTCAGACACTATCTTGTGTGGATACAAGGAAGAATAAGGCGGGTTACTTAAATTTTAGTATTCTTAGACTAGTCAGGTAACAGACAAGCCAATAACATCGTACTCAAATCACCATGCATGTCCAGAGGAGCATAGAGGTGGGACATTTTGTCTTACCTTGGGGGATTGGGAGGAGGCAGGAAAAAGTCACCTAAAGTAACTGACATGTGATCTATTTCTTGAAGGCTGACTAGGGTGGAGGAGAACATCCCAAGCAGACAGAACTGCCCGTCAGATAGATGGTTTAGTCTATGATTGCTTTTTTTCTGCAGTCACAACTTGGAGAGCAAAGCAAATTGGGCAAGTTAGGTAGAGTTTCTCCAATTCTGCTTGATGTATGGTTTTATTATAACACATACTTGCCTTATAAAGTTTTTCAACGTCAGTGTAACCAGTTTTGAATTTTTTTGTTTTATATTGTGGTATGAGATTTGGAATTAACTATACTGTGTATTTCATATTTACATAAGGCACAACCTGCCAAGGTAGTTTTTTAATTATCAAATTATGTCTTGTAAGTATTTTGCATAGTGTAGAATTCATTTGAGTTAAGTGACTGATTCTATTGCTGCTTTAAATGTAACGATATTTTATGATTTCATAGAAGGAAATTTTTAGAATCAATAACCCACTCATTTTAGCTAATCTCATTTAGTTAAACCATTTCTCTTGAAGTTGTAACCCGTTATATAATTTCATGCATATTTCTTCCTACATATATTTACTTGACTCTTTCAGGTCTATAATACTGCCACTTTCTGACAAAGGTATAATGAGCATAATTTTAAATTCTTCATGAAATACAAGTTGTTGTTCGTTGTTCAGTCACTAAGTCATCTCTGACTCTTTGCAACCTCATGGACTACAGCACACTAGATTTCCCTGTTCTTCAACATGGCCCAGAGTTTGCTCAAACTCATGTCCATTGAGTCAGTGATGCTGTCTAACCCATTTCATCCTCTGTCACCCCCTTCTCCTCCTGTCCTCAGTCTTTCCCAGCATTAGGGTCTATTCCAATGAGTCAGCTCTTTGCATCTGGTGGCCAAGCTTTGGAGCTTCAGCTTCAGTATCAGTCCTTCCAATGAACGTGCAGGGTGAATTTCCTTTTAGGATTGACTGGTTTGATCTTGCAGTCCAAGGGACTCTCAAGAGTCTTCTCCAGCACCACAGTTCGAAAGCATCAATTCTTCAGCACTCAGCCTTCTTTATGGTCCAGCTCTCACATCCATACATGATTACTGGAAAAACCATAGCTTTAACTAAACAGACCTTTGTTGGCAAAGTGATATCTTTGCTTTTTAATGTGCTGTCTAGGTCTGTCATAGCTTTTCTTCCAAGGAGCAAGCGTCTTTTTTTTTTTTTTTGAGCAAGCGTCTTTTAATTTCATGTCTTCAGTCACCATCCACAGTGATTTTGGAGCCCAAGAAAATAAAATCTGTCACCACTTCCACTTTTTTCCCTTCTGTTTGCCATGAAGTGATGGGACCAGATGCCACGACCTTAGTTTTTTTGAATGTTGAGTTTTAAGCCAGCGTTTGCATTCTCCTCCTTCACCCTCATCAAGAGGCTCTTTAGTTCCTCTAAACAGTCTGCCATTGGAGTGCTTGTCAATTAATAACTAATAGATTATTGCCTAGTTCTATTGATAGTTTAGTGTCATAGCTCTTGAAATTACTTTAGTCAGCCAAGATAAAACTGTTCTAGCACACATCTAATATACTGTTTCTAAAATGAATGAATATGTATATAAAGAAGGAGGGAGTTTGAACTTAGAGAAAGCAGGATAGGGAATCTTATTTTAGATTACAAAAGACAACACCAAAGCAATCTTAATTTTCTAAAAAAAATCTGATTTTGTTTCATAAAATTTGACCTTTAATTATGCTCCTGCTAAAATTATTACCTGAGAAAGTGTGCACATACGATTTGATTCAATATATTTTTGGAACACTTCTTAAACTGACCATTAAAGCATATTAAATCATCATTAAATCCAGACATTTCTTTCTTCACTCTCTTTACTTTCCTTAATAGAAATAGTGTATTAGTTTTCTATTGCTTCTGTAACAATTTACCATAAATTAAAACAATACAAGTATATTATCATACAGTTCTTGGGGTCAGAAGTTCAGTTTGCATGTCACCAGACTAAACTCAAAGTATTGGACAGGCTATTCCTTTCTGGAGTCTCTAGGGAGTGAATCCAGTTACTGCTTCTTTGAGTTGTTGACAGAAACCACTTCCTTCAAGAGTAGGACCTAGGTCTTATTTTTTTATTGACTCTAAACTGAGATTTATCCTGCCTTTTAAAGATTACCTCATTTCCTGGCTTATTGTTTCCTTCTTGCATCTTCAAAACTGGCAATAACCTGTTAAGGCCTTCTTACTTTGCATCTTTGTGACATACTGTTCTTCTGTAATCTTTTACTTATAAGGATTTATATGATTAAATTGGATCCACTTAGATAATCTGGATAATCTCCCCCATCTTGGGTTCTTAACATTAATCGTATCAACACAGTCCCCTTTGCCATCCTGTAATGTATTTCAAATCCTGAAAGATGATGCTGTAAAAGTGCTGCACTCAATATGCCAGCAAATTTGGAAGACTCAGCAGTGGCCACAGGACTAGAAAAGGTCAGTTTTCATTACAATCTCAAAGAAAGGCAATCCCAAAGAATGCTCAAACTACGGCACAATTGCACTCATCTCACATGCTAGTAAAGTAATGCTCAAAATTATCCAAACCTGGCTTCAGCAATACGTGAACTGTGAACTTCCAGATGTTCAAACTGGTTTTTAAAAGACAGAGGAACCAGAGATCAACTTGCCAGCATTCGCCGGATCATCGAAAAAGCAAGAGAGTTCTAGAAAAACATCTATTTCTGCTTTTTTGACTATGCCAAAGCCTTTGACTGTATGGACCACAATAAACTGTGGAAAATTCTGAAAGATGTGGGAATACCAGACCACCTGACCCACCTCTTGAGAAACCTATATGCAGGTCAGGAAGCAACAGTTAGAACTGGACATTGAGCAACAGACGGGTTCCAAATAGGAAAAGGAGTACATCAAGTCTGTGTATTGTCACCCTGCTTATTTAACTTATATGCAGAGTACATCATGAGAAACGCTGGGCTGGAAGAAGCACAAGGTGGAATCAAGATTGCCGGGAGAAATATCAATAACCTCAGATAGGCAGATGACACCACCCTTACGGCAGAAAGTGAAGAACTAAAAAGCCTCTTGATGAAAGTGAAAGAGGAGAGTGAAAAAGTTGGCTTAAAGCTCAACATTGAGAAAACTATGATCATGGCATTTGGTCCCATCACTTCATGGGAAATAGATGGGGAAGCAGTGGAAGCAGTGTCAGACTTTATTTTTCTGGGCTCCAAAATCACTGCAGATGGTGACTGTATCCATGAAATTAAAAGACACTTACTCCTTGGAAGGAAAGTTACGACCAACCTAGATAGCATATTAGAAAGCAGAGACATTACTTTGCCAACAAAGGTCCGTCTGATCAAGGCTATGGTTTTTCCAGTGGTCATGTATGGATGTGAGAGTGTGGTGTTGGAGAAGACTCTTGAGAGTCCCTTGGACTGCAAGGAGATCCAACCAGTCCATCCTAAAGGAGATCAGTCCTGGGTGTTCGTTGGAAGGACTGATGCTGAAGCTGAAACTCCAATACTTTGGCCACCTCATGCAAAGAGTTGACTCATTGGAAAAGACCTTGATGCTGGGTGGGATTGGGGGCAGGAGAAGGGGATGACAGAGGAGGAGATGCCTGGATGGCATCACCGACTCGATGGACATGAGTTTGAGTAAACTCCTAGAGTTGGTGATCGACAGGGAGGCCTGGCATGCTGCAGTTCATGGTGTCGCAAAGAGTTGGACACGACTGAGCGACTGAACTGAACTGAACTGACTGTAACATATTACCAGGTTCCAGGAGTTAGGACCTAGACATCTTTGGGGAGATGTGTTTCTGCCTACCGTAACTGGTAGTGCTAACTGGTGCCTGAGTTTGCTGGATAGGTTTTCCTTTTCTGTTTAGAATACCACTGACTTTTCTCTTTTTGATTCATTGAATGCAAGTGAAGTGTTAGGATTCAGTCATGATAGTACTATATTAGATGTAATACCTATAGGGAAATATAGGTGGAAAGAGAATGCTGGAAATACTGAAAAAAAAAAAAGAAAATGTGCTTAGAATATTACTTTGTAAAATAAGAAGTCCTTATTTATTTTTGAGTTTAACTACTTTCAATCTTTAGTACTAAGGTCCATAGTTTTTCAATACCCAGCAGCAGGAAGTAAGCCAGTAAAGAACCTGTTAATTTAGGATGAAAATATTCCAAAGTAGATACTCATTCAGAGCAATAAATTTTAATAATTTATTTAAATTTTGATGATGAATAACCTTGCATTTTAATGTTATTTCTTTTTTACTTAGATCATCACAAAGTACGTATATGAGCTTCTGGAAAAGGACTGTAATTTGAAAAAAATATCTATTCCAGTAAGTCCAATTTTTAAAAGTATTTATATTTCCAAATAAACTATCTTCAATTCAGAAGAAAACTTTTGTTTTAGATTAACTGTGATAAGTTTAAATGTTAAGATCCTTATGTTTTGATATTGATAAAGATAATATTAAATGCCTGTCATTATACTTCATCTCATTGTGTGTAATAGTTCTTAAAAAGTAATATTCTTTAGTGTAAAGAAAAGAAATACTGATTTCCAGTCTTTTTTGAAAGTGATGTCACAAAAGAACTACTCTTTCCTCTACCCTTTCTCATTTCATTGGTATAATTTATTTTAGCATGTTTATTTGAACTAAACCTGTGTGCTCTTTCTTACATTAGACATTGACTATCATTTTAATTATTTCTTGAGTATTTTAGATTATATGTTTAATTTCTGTCATATTTCCTCTGAATATCCTCAGATTTACTCCTGTTTGATAACACTACTCCTTTCCTTGTTAGTGGAAGTCTTTTTTTTTTTTTTTTCATTTGCACATTTTGCCATTTCAGAATGAAAATGTTTGAAATTTGTTCTCAAATTCAGTTTCTCAAAAGAGCTTTTTTGCTTTGTACAGTATGAAATATTAAGCTTTTGAATGGAGAAATAATAATCTTATGTGTGAGATGATGGTAGACTAGATTAGATTATTTTTACTGTCCCAGACAGTTCTCTGGTTTTTACAATCTTTATGAACCTCAAAGACTTCATGAAAATAATTTATTTAAGGCACAAAACTTAAGAGTATTGATAATTTAGTTTACATGAAATTTTACATGAAGTTCTAAAATTCTTTGGGTAGTATTATTCTACTATCAAGTGGAGGATTTTAGAGTTTTTTAATACTCCCATCCTCCCAAATCACTTACATAGGTTGATTTTTTAAAAAGATCTCTATTTTATATTTTATTTTCTATAGATAACTTCAAGTACTAGGTCATATTGTTGTTTATTAACTTATTCACTCAACAAATATTTATTTTAGGGTGCCAGGCACTTTTCTATGTGCTAGTGATATACTAGTGAATGCAGTATTATTCTATGTAATCACTAGGCCAACACTTGTTTATTTGAAAACTTTCCTTTTGACTTAGGTGAAAACCAAGATTTTAGTATTTTTTTTGATAGTGAATTTAAAAGTCATTTTCTGGATTCAAACCTCTTGTTTTGTTTTTGACTTTAGGTCTAGTGTCTCACTCTATTAAAACTATATGTTGAATTTGGTCTTCTGGAAAGTAAGGTAGAATTTTGTCACTTTGTCCAGTCTCCTTTTTTGGTTAACTCTATTTCTTTTGAAACTTCTGATGAATGATATTTAAAGAGCCTTAGGTTAATCCATTGTTACAGCACAATTAATTAGTATTGAGTCCTTTAACTTTGCAATACTTCTAGTTCCATTGAACCTTTAAACTCAGTTTAATTCCCTGGGTTTCTAGAACAAATTACAAGACAGTTGGCCATATCTGTCGTGTTATATAATTATTTCATTTTTGTGTAGAAAGCCTGAGATTAGATTTAGAAGGACTTGAATTATTTTCCTCTTAAATAAATTTAAATCTAATATTACACAGAGAAAGCTTTTCATTCTATGAGATCTGTAACAACCATTATGTCCATTTTTGGTTAGGAAAGATTTCCTAATTTTATAAGTGAAAAGGAAACTTTTTTTATTTTAGAAAATTAATGTTATCATAACATATTATCATAAGTTATCATAACATATTTTATATAATTATGAGATTTTTCTTCCCTAAGTATTAGTTTTCTCCTGAGTTCTCTTAAATCCCAAAGCTAGCAGTGAGAATCGGGTTTATTCTTTTGTTCAGTCATTTTTTTTTCTAAAGATAGATCACCAATTTTTTTTTCTTTTACTGATGATGAACTGAGTTTTAGTCTTATAGTTGAAATATTTAATAAGGAAATAATTCTTTTTAATTGATACTACTCTGTAGAAGCCCGTGATTTGACAGTAAAGGTCATGATCATGGCTCTCCATGTAAACATGATCACGTTTACTCTCCACCTCACATAAATAGGTACAAAATATTCTCAATTTTAGTTTTTCACTCTTGTGTAGAATATTGGATATGTGAGTTAACTACATATTTTCATTTGATTTATTCAATCATATTTAAATAAACTTCAAAATTAGTGATTTTCATAAATATCCCCAAATGAATTGTTAACTGCAAGGAACTGTTTGGTGTAGGTCACTGACCAATTGGTCTTAGACATTGATTTGTCTATAATAGAGGTGGTACACTTGGAATGACCTTTTGTGTTTTCCTTAATGAAAGCTCATCTTAGTAAATTACCATTATTAGAAGATAAATGGCATGGGAACAGTCATTTCAAAACAAAACATCCCAGACTTAAGTTAGGGATTTCCTTCGTGGTCCAGTGGTTAAGGCTCTGTGCTTAGAATACAGGGGGCATGGTTTTGCTCCCTGGTCAAAGTGCTGAGATCCACACATCCATGCCATGAGATGCAGCCAGAAAGTTAAAAAAAGAGAGAGAGAGAGAGAGATTTAATGAAGAAAACTTTATTTTATTCATATAGATATTTTTCTGTTTTAAATTAGCAATAACTTTAGAGTAAATGATCAACTGCAGAATCACAGTTCTGCATTATTTTGAGATGAATATTATTCAGTTACTGCCTTAAATATCGCTTTTCCTCCTTTATCATTAATACTATTACACTGTTCATTTTTTTCCTTAAATCATCTAATGTTCTGATATTTTTAAAATCAATGTATTTGCATGTTCAAGTAAAATTTTTATTTGTTGCCCCTTCCCTTAAAAAAATTCTTGAACAGTATCATTAAAAAAACATGTTTATCTTCAGAAAATAAGTGCCCTTCCAGTTTTAAAGTGATTACTGTGGAATTCAATTCCACCTTTAAAAACTGACTGAGGTGCTTGGTTTCAGGGGACTTATTTAGTAGGATAGAAAAAAGGAACAGTGGTCAGCACCTTCTAGAAAGTGTATAGCTAGGGTTTTTTTTTCATTAAGATAAACAGATGTCCATTTCCATATATTCCAGGATCCATTAAGGCCTCACTGACTTTTTAAGAGACTCTCTTATTTGCGCCTATTTAGACATACTTTTTGGTAAATGAATGACTGGAAACCTCTGTGGTCTCTGTTTTATTATTCACTGACAGCTTTGCCTTTTCATTTTTCTTTTGTTCTTATTACCATTTTCTTTCTTTTTTCAAGCTGTTTTAACTGAATGATTCCTCTGTTCTCTTATAATGTTCCTAGGTAAAAGGGAGTTTTTCTTCTCAGATTTGGTTTGCTCTGTCTCCCATCCACTTTTCTTCCTCTATGACTTCAGTCATATCTATTGTTATTATAGTAATTTGTTAATTCTAGACATCACATGTGGTAGTGTTGTACTTCCTTCTCTTATGTCATATTTACTTACTACTAATAAAGATATAGTTATGTCATTTTGATTCTAAGCATTGTGTAGCTCTTAAAATTCTCTGTAATCATGCATTAGTTTAATCTTTCATTTGTGCTTTCTGAACCAGTCAAGTATTATAACCAAGTTAAGAGGACACATTGTTTAGTTAAATGCCTTTTATCTAAAGGAAGTCACTGGTGAGGCTTGATTAAGATTCTTTAGTCCAAAAGTTTATTCATTCTTGTATAACTCAGTGCCTATAATGTGCCAGCCTTTCTTCTGTACATTTGGTAATATACTGGAGACACAAGTCTATGCCTTCCTGTACTTTAGTAGAGGGAATGGATGGTTAATAAACAAACATACAAACAGATATAAAGTAAAGCACATTAGGTTGCACTATATGCGCTGGAGGGAAATAAAACAGAGGTTGATAATAGATAATTCTTCGGGAAGTGTTTAAGTGGAGTGGTCAGAGAAGGCCTCACTGAGAAGATGCATTTTTTTCTCAAGCCTGTGGCCCTGCCCTCTTGCTGAAATAATTACCTTTTGTGCTGTGTGTACACGGGTGGCTCAGCATCCGTTACTGACCAATCTGATTGTTTTAGAAGTACAGAAATTTTAATTTTTTCTTGTCCCAGAAGTAGTGACTGGGCCTGTTTGGAATCTAGGGCACTTAATGGCATTGATTGTTTTCTTTATTATTTTGATAATTTTATGACTGTATACTGTTGATGAAGTGAGGTGCTATTGCATTGCCCAGCATATGAATTGACCTTCTCTATTTGAGGGTGTGTTTATCAATCACCTGTCAAGATTTTAACTTCTGGCTCTGACCTGGTCACACAAAGCCTGCCATTCGTTGTTACTTGCCACTGCTGATGAGAATGATGGGGCATGGCATGACATACATGATAAAAGATTGGGAAGTTACCCTTCTCTAAAAATCGCTAACTCTTTGAAATCTGAATCTAGTTTAAACCTAAATATTATGTATAATCAAAATAACTAAAAGTATTCACTTTTCATTCTATGAGTAACTAATGCATAAGGTTATCAAAGTATACAGATAGTATTATTTCACAAAGTATTTGTTATATAATCCTGTGTTCACACACTGAATAAAATGTCAAAGTCTATTTACATAGAACAGTTGGTGTTTGAATTTTTAAATAGTTCCCTTTCCTATGTTTGTTAAAAGCTTAGTAGTTTTCCTCACTAATCTGTAGTTTTCCAATATGTGTATTCTCCAATTGGGGTTTCTGTTTATTTTAGATGCAGCATATTTCTGTTATGACTTATAGGCTTAATAACTGTGCGATTTGGGCGAGTTATTTAAACTCTCCAGGCCTCAACTTCTTCATCTATAAACAAATATAATAATAGTCTCACCTTAATAGAATTGTGATTAGTTGAAATAATGTTTTAAAAACATTTAGCATAGTATCTAGGTTATAGGAAGCACTTAAAATTATTCTTTTTTGTAATGATAATATAATACTGATATACAGTAGCAATGGAGAAAGACATATTTCCAGTATTCTTTTCTATATTTTTATATTTTAATTACCATCATGTCTTTTTGCTCCTCTACCTTATATGTAAGTGTTAATCTCTAATGAATATTTTAATTTTATTTTAAAGTTTTTTTACTTCTATAATTCTGTAACAGCTGTTCTATACTTTGTATTAACCACTAGTTGTTTTCTCATTTGTGTCTATGATCAGAAAACATTTATTTATTATTTAATTTTTTTTAATTACAGGTAGATGCCACTGAAAGTGAACCAAAGAGTTTTATCTTTATGAGTGAGGATGCTTTGACAAATCCACAGAAACTGATGGTTTTAATTCATGGTAGTGGTGTTGTCAGGGCAGGTCAGTGGGCTAGAAGGCTTATTATAAATGAAGATCTGGACAGTGGCACACAGATCCCTTTTATTAAGAGAGCTATGGATGTAAGTGCAATTTCCTTTATATTTTTTTGGCATTTTATAGCTGTTTTATTATGTGTTATAAATTATTTTATCGTGTCTTTTAAAAAATCTTTCCTAAACATAGTCTTATCTTTAAATTGTTATCATTTTATTTGTAGTGAAAGATTATTCTGCATTATTTTGCAGTTACAGCAAAAAATAAAAAGACATCTTCAGTGTACAAATGATTTAGATAATGTCTTTGAAATGAGTATTTTCAGTTCTAATTTTTTGTTTCTTATTACATGAAATATCACTTTAAAATACCAGTATTAAATACCAGTATTAAAATACCAGTATTACTGAAAATACTTCTGAAAAAAATATGACTGCTTTTATAAATCTTCACCTACCTGATTTAGTGAAGTTAGAAACTAAAGGAAACCTGCTACATTAAATTAATATTTTATTCTTTTAAAAAAAGAGTTGGAAAAACAGCAATTTTCTGTCTTTAAAAATAAATAAATAAAAACTCTTGAGAACCCACAAACACAACGCTTAAGAATAAGACAAACACAGGGTGGTAAATTGCATTATTTACTGAATTATTTTATTCTTACTTGAATTCAGACTTTTTAGAAGTTGGTATTTGAAAACTGTGTTCCAGGTTCTCTTTCCTGTGGTAGTGAAATTGCCTTTTCTGACCTCGCTTTGTTACATGTTCATGTTTGGAGACTTGTTTTACTCTTTCATTCTTAAGTTCTCCAATGAATAGTTAAACTTTGCAAAGTTGGTTTTCTTTCACATATGAGTAGAAGTTTTCTTCAGAAAAAAAATACAGTGGCATCTTTACTTATAAAAGTTTAATATAGGAATGTAAAGTTATTTAGGAATATATGTGTCCATGTATGCTTTATAAGAGCTACTTTATTTTTGTAATTAAAATAGGTAAGGAATCATTTGATACACTAATGAATGCAAAGGTGAAAGATAAGTTTCTTACTTGTTAACTCTGAAATGGTAAGATTAAAGCCCAGCTCAGCTCCTAAAGAATATTTTGTTAATAGATTTTGAGACACTTAAAATGCTGCAAGTAGAATTTCATAGGTGAATTGTATATTTTGTTTCAGTCTTCTTAGACATGCAAAGAACCAAAGATATCACTTTTGATTGGTTGCAAACTTCAATGGTGTGTTTTTAAATTAGAATTTAAGTAAATTAAATAAATGTAGTTTATTTTTAAGTAATTCACTTAATTTGTTGTTAAATTGTTTTATATTTCAGGTTATGAATAGTGAAATGAACTTACTCTCTGGCATATTAGTTTATGTTTGGAACAGATCCTGTCAATGTATTTTAAGAACACTTTATGTGAAATGTGATCACAGTTCAGTGAATACTTGAAAATATAATTTAGTAAAGCAAATCAGATATTTGTACAAATGAGTGCTTGGTGAAATATTTTATGTAAGTTACATTGTCTGTGCTAGTAGGTAACTAAGCCATTCCCATCCCAAAATGTTCTTGTATAAGGTTTTTTGAAGTGAAAGGGTATAGAGAAAACCATCTCAAATACCTTTGAACAGACTATCTGTTGAGATCCCAAACAAGAGGGAGGAAGTTTTGTTAGAACAGTTAGTCATTTCGTTCTTTTAAGTAGAAATATAATTGGAGGGGTTACAGCATTTCGTTGTCTTGACTTTTTTCTGCTTTTCTCAATCAGAGCAACTCATAATTCCTTGAAAAAAATCAGCTGATTTCTGAGTTCTTTCGTATTTAGTGTTTATGTTGTATACTTTGAAAAGTTCAGATTATGAACTTTATTCTCGATTTTATGAACTTCATTTTGATAACTTTCTACATGATGAACATTTTAAAATGGTTATCTCTTTTTAATTTAGATAAAGTGATTTGTATTACTGCAGCTTTGCTTTTTCATGGTACTTCTCTGATCATTCTTCATGGGCTGCTCCATGTTTGTGTGTGGTTGGAGGGTAAGACAGGTAGGGGAAACGATGGAATTTTAGGAAGCAGGAAGAGGAAGACTAATTGGGAGAAAGAAGCTGTCTCATTTTTACTTTGAAATGAGATTAGCCCCTGCCCTCTGCAGTCCATGGGGTCGCTAAGAGTCGGACACGACTGAGCAACTTCCCTTTCACTTTTCACTCTCATGCATTGGAGAAGGAAATGGCAACCCACTCCAGTGTTCTTGCCTGGAGAATCCCAGGGACGGGGGGAGCCTGGTGGGCTGCCGTCTATGGGGTCGCACAGAGTCGGACACGACTGAAGCGACTTAGCAGCAGCAGCAGCAGCCCCTGCCCTGCTTGTTTTTTTAATCTTTTTTTCTAAAATGATTTAAAGAAATGTTTCTGTAGTTTATGAAAGGCAGGGAGCCACTGTTCTATTTTCCATGGTCTGTCAATTTTCATATCACAACTGAAGTAAATTCTGATATTTTGCAGGCCAGAGAATATTTTCTCTACTCAGTGTTAATATATTTATGCTATATCCCTTGCAGATTTTTAGTATAATATTAAAGGTCCCCAAATAGGAGTCATATAATGGTAAGGTTAAAACTTTTTCCCAATAGTATAACCCTGCCTCTAAGTGGACTGTTTTGTAAAAAACAAAACAAAACTTGTGTTTGAATCTCTGGAGTCACTTTGGTAGAAGCTGAAGTGAAGGCTGACACCACCTCCACAATAGCCCCTGAGATTTCTTCCCTGACCCTTGGGCTCCATGAGTCACAGTTTGGAAACTACAGATAATCCAATCCTTGCAGTTTAGATACTTAAGAATTTTATTATTAAAAATGTATTAAGGTTTCATGTTGGAGTAATACTACATATTTGATAAATCCCCAGTTGCTTCTCGGGTTGCCATAGCTATTATTTTCAGTGCTGAACAATCTTCAATGCTTAATATTGCAATATATTACTTGGAGTATAAAAGCGTGTCTCATATAGCCAAGTACTTTGTGGATCACAACAAACTGTGGAAAATTCTTAAAGAGATGGGAATACCAGACCACCTGACCTGCCTCCTGAGAAATCTGTCTGCAGGTGAAGAAGCAACAGTTAGAACTGGACGTGGACCAACAGACTGGTTCCAAATTGGGAAAGGAGTACATCAAGGCTGTATATTGTCACCCTGCTTATTTATATGCAGAGTACATCATGGGAAATGCTGGACTGGATGAAGCACAAGCTGGAATCAGGATTCAGTTCAGTTCAGTTCAGTTCTGTTGCTCAGTCGTGTCCAACTCTTTGCGACCCCATGAACCGCAGCACACCAGGCCTCCCTGTCCATCACCAACTCCTGGAGTTTACCCAAACTCATGTCCATTGAGTCGGTGATTCCATCTAACCATCTCATCCTCTGTCGTCCCCTTCTCCTCCCACCTTCAATCTTTCCCAACATCAGGGTCTTTTCAAATGAGTCAACTCTCTGCATCAGGTAGCCAAAATATTGGAGTCTCAGCTTTAACATCAGTCCTTCCAATGAATACCCAGGACTGATTTCCCTTAGGATGGACTGGTTGGATCTCCTTGCAATCCAAGGGACTCTCAAGAGTCTTCTCCGAAACTACAGTTTAAAAACATCAATTCTCCTGTGCTCAACTTTCTTTATAGTCTAACTCTCACATCCATACATGACTACAGGAAAAATCATAGCCTTGACTAGACGGACCTTTGTTGACAAAATAATGTCTCTGCTTTTTTTGGTCATAATTTTCCTTCCCAGGAGTAAGTGTCTTTTAATTTCATGGCTGCAATCACCATCTGCAGTGATTTTGGAGCCCCCAAAAATAAAGTCAGGAATCAGGATTGCCGGGAGAAATATCAGTAACCTCAAATATGCAGATGACACCACCCTTATGACAGAAAGTGAAGAAGAACTAAAGAGCCTCTTGATGAAAGTGAAAGAGGAGAGTGAAAAAGTTGGTTTAAAGCTCAACATTCAGAAAACTAAGATCATGGCATCTGGTCCCATCAATTCATGGCAAATAGATGAGGAAATAATGGAAACAGTGAGACACTTTATTTTCTTGGGCTCCAAAATCACTGCAGATGGTGACTGCAGCCATGAAATTAAAAGACGCTTGCTCTTTGGAAGAAAAGTTATGACCAACCTAGACAGCATATTATAAAGCAGAGACATTACTTTGCCGACAAATGTCCATCTAGTCAAGGCTATGGTTTTTCCAATAGTCATGTACAGGTCTGAGAGTTGGACTTTAAAGAAAGCTGACCACCGAAGAATTGATACTTTTGAACTGTGGTGTTGGAGAAGACTCTTGAGAGTCCCTTGGACTGCAAGGAGATCCAACCAGTCCATCCTAATGGAAATCAGGCCTGAATATTCATTGGAAGGACTGATGCTGAAGCTGAAACTCCAATACTTTGGGCCACCTCATGCGAAGAGTTGACTCATTTGAAAAGACCCTGATCCTGGGAATGATTGAAGGCGGGAGGAAAAGGGGATGACAGGATGAGATGGTTGGATGGTATCACCGACTCAGTGGACATGACTTTGAATAAGCTCCAGGAGTTGGTGATGGACAGGGAAGCCTGGTGTGCTGCCGTCCATGGGGTCACAAAGAGTTGGACACAACTGAGCGACTGAACTGAACTGAACTGAGGCATTTTAGTTGATCTCTATACAAAGGGCAAAGAAAGTAGGTGACACTTAAGTCGTTTCATTACTAATTGCAGAAGTGGTATTAGAGTGTGAAATTTAAGGAGTCGTTCACTCTCAGGATGTGCACTCCTTGTATGTCCCTGAGAGTGAATGCCTCCTCAAATTTTGCACCTTAGGTACCTCACTGATCTGTTCCTGTCAAGGCTTTGACTGACTGGCATGTATGCACTGTCAAAATTTTTGTGGTCTGGAAACCCGTATAAAGTCAAATTTTTACCATGCACCAGAAACACCTGGAGGATTTCTTGGATTAGATTGCCCTGTTCGGATCCCAGGTTTTAATTCAGAAGGTTGGTTGGGGCCTAAGGATTTATGTATATGAGAATATCTGAGGTGATGCG